ATTTCTTCTATTTGAGAGTGACACGCACAGCTGTGCAGCTGTGATTTGTCTGTGCGGGGGCAATAGAGCAGAGGAGGGCTGTTAGAGGAGAAATAACCAACAAGGAAACCACTTTCAGCTTTGCTCCTGCACCGCCTGGCTGGCCTCCGGCCAAGTTCTCCAGAGAGGGCTGGCTCACCCCTTCTCCTCCTCTCCTCCCTCTCTTCTTTCTCTTCCAAACCCACATACGCACTCCTCTCCAGCCCTCCAAAGCAACAGGCGAGAAGAAGGAAGAGCGACAAAAGCAAAAGAGCAACTCCTGCAACTTTTTGGAACGAGCGCAACTAGGAGAAGCTTCCGAGGATGCCAAACGCGTCGGTTTTGCAGATGGATCACATGGGTACGCGAGGGAACTGATTTTATTTTTCCCAAAGAAGAAAACAGGAGGGAGGACACACGTTTTTGTTTTTTTTTCCTCCACCGTATGAGACGTCAAAAGTTTCCCTCTGTGTTAACAAAGCAGGCGCCTTTGAGCTGGAGCTGAAACCCTCGGCTTGTGATTAAATGTCCCGGGGTCTCTGTGGAGGGCAGTGAAAGGATGCCAGGATGCCCTCTCTGATCTCCCATCTGCTTGTCATCTGGCTGAGCGTCCACAGGCTGGTGTGGTGCACGGAGCGCTCCTCCACACGCGAGCGCTTCAAGGTGGTCATCGCTCCTCTCATCTGCAAGCGGGTCTGCCTGAAGGGGCAGTGCCAGGATACCTGCGAGCAGGGCAACAACACCACGCTGATCGCGGAGAACGGGCAGGGGGCCGACACGCTCACCGGACCGGGCTTCAGGGTCGGTAAGTGACGGAGGCAGTTTCTTATGAGGGCTGGGGGCGATTAAATAGACCCCCTGCGATTGAGAGCCCTGTCCTGACCCCAGGCTTTTACGTTGTGGTTATCCCTGTTGTGCCAAAAAAGGATTTCCGGTAATTGCAAAAAGAAATGATCGCGATTATTTAAACGATTATAAATGCCTCCTTGGCCTTCAATCTGTCAAAAATATGCCAAACACATCTAATATCATGACTGATGTCCTGCCATTTAAAGCCAGAAGGAACATTTCTGTCACAAGGCGAAGCTGGAGGGTTTTTGGCAAAGTGACTTTTATATGTTCTTTATTTATGCAGATAAAAAACAATCTTCATAAGGGATCTGGCCAACAGGATAGCAGAAACTGTAACAAATATAACATTACAATTTTATAGGCATACTTTAAGTTTCCCCAGCATCATGTTGCCCTCCATCTTTTTACCAAATTAAGTAAAGATATTAGACACAAGAAACAAGGAGAAACCATGGAAATCACTTTTTGGCACATCGCCCCTGTAGAGAGGTGAGGGAGGCCTGTTTGTTTGCTTAAAAGCCGACTTTCTTAATAGCTTATTATACCAATGCGGAGCTCCATAAAACACCTAAAACTGGCCCAACTGTGCTTCTCTATAAGAAAAGGTTATGCCTGAAAATCTGAAACACTTTTAGCTCATTTCAAGGTTAGTTGATAGCACGAGCGCGAGTTGAAGCAATAAAGTCCACCTAAAAATCAAAACCAACACCATGTCACAAAAAATGGCCCATAATCCACAAAATAACTGGTTCAAAGCCAGCATATCTGATCATCTCGAGGCCTCTTGGTTCCATACCTGCTGCTGATAGGCTCCGTGGGTTCATGTGAGGAAACTGTGCAAATAAATAGGTGGCTAAGATGAGGTGAGCTGAGGTTTACCCTCCGCTGCATCTGGAAAACGTTCCTGGGTTACACTTTAATTAGTAAGGCACGGCTCATTACATGGCACATAAATGTACTCTTAAGATCTATACTTTCCCCACCTCCCTCACTCCAGTGTCTGGTTGGCATGAGTGGAGCTGTTTCTGTGCTGTATCAGATCAGCTGTGGTTGAGACTTGGAGCCTTGCAGTCTACATCAGTGTACCGCTCCACAAATGGATTTACCCTCAGTGGCTCGGTGTACAGAGTGAGATTGAGCTTTTTAACGCAGTCTGACAGTGAATTAACTCAATAACAGTAATGAAAGTGAGCTAATACACTACGCTGCACGGCACAGCTCAGTAATAAATATATTTATTAACATGATACGGCTTCTTTCTTCTTTTTCTTTCTTAAAACTCACATATTTCTAAATATAGATTCCTCTTCCACTTATGTGCTCTCTCTCTCCTTTATTGGCTGAATTCTTAGAACCAAACTAAGATGCAGAGCTGCAGGATGAAAAATAAACAATGCCTGTGGGGAGGGAGGAGTGGCAGCAGCAGGTTGTGGTTGTGGTGCATTTTGCATTCATCACACACAGGTTTGCACAGAGTTGCAGTTGCGTGTAGAGTCGTAGCTGGAGTCGAAGCAGGCTGGATTCAATTGAGGCCAAGTGAATGGTACTTGCACTGCTGTGACAGTATTCTTCCACTCTGACACAGTGTAGAGGCAAAGAGTTGGCTCCGGCATCAGTCTTCCCTCTTCTCCCCCCGATTTCCTTGTGGTACGTCACGTTTTATGGAGCTTCTGTGTAAAGTAATTCAAGAGAGACGCGTCGGATTCCTGGAATGCCTCATGCTGTTTCGCAGTGTGTCTGGATAACGAGATCATGTCGTCACACAGTCCCGTCTCCCGGATTTATCCGTCCGTTTATCGGAGTTTTTGCAGAGAGGGACCGAGGAGTCGACTCCAGCTTGCACAGGAGATGTGTGCTGTTCAGCGCGAGCGCTGGAATGTGGTCTGGACAAGTGGAAATTTCTCTCTCCCGTGTTAAAACGGCCACGGCTATAGCAGCAACAATATGAAGACTTTTCCATATTTGAGCAGTTATGATGTAAGCAACGGCGAGCCTGACGCCCAGACTGAACAAAACTTTTCCACAAAAGAAAATATGATTCCTGTCAGTCTGTAGAAGTAAAGAAGAGTCTTTAAAGAGCAAACACATTCAGAACCAAGATACACTTTTAGTCATAATGTAGTTCACTGAGACTTTTTGCTTTGCTTTACTTGACATGTTCTCAAAAGTTTGTGTTTCCACGGCAAAATAGGTCATTTATTTTATATTAAACTGAAAGAGGGAAGTGAAATCCTGTTCGTTACTTCTGTTTGTTCTGTTTTAGTAGGCCAAAGAAGTTATCCAAAGTTAAATATATCAAAAGCTAAATAATACAGGTACAGTGCGTGTATTTATGGTGATCATAAAACCCTCCTCAGTTTGTTGATCCTCTGACTTTTCAGCCAGTGACAGGCACTTAAAACTAAAGCGGCTGAGCTAAAGGATGTGAAATCACTCTGCACGATTTGTATTCTTTGTACGTTACTGTACAAAACTTTTGAGCTGGCTCCCATTTCTTTATACTTTGCTTCTAAGAAACCAGACCATTTTTTCCAGTGGTCTCGAGCAACAGTTCACCAGGCTTTCTGAAGATCTCTCTAAGGTTTTCTTTGGACATTGGCTGCTTTTCCCAAACGTATTCAGCACAGTGCTTGTACCTGACTGTTTTTGTTTGTTAAGTCACTTCACGCTGACCTATGTATCATTCAAGCATAAAACAGGCAGCTAGCTCAAGGGATGAACAAATGTTGTGTCTACACATAACAGACAACTTAGCAAAGAGCCAATTTCTATCTGTAAGCACTTTGTTACTAACAAAATGTCCTAAAATATCCTATTTTTTTTTTTTTTTACTAATTTCTTTAGTTGAATCTATGAAAAATGGCAAAGATAACACAGTTTAACAAATACAAAAGAATAAATTTTCACCAACAAGGGGATTCCCAAAGATTTATTAGCCATGGTGTGCAGCGTGTCATTAAACAAATTTGAGGAAACTGGACAAGCAGAGGACAGAAGAAGGCCTAAAAACTATCTACAGCAGGCTTATTTGATCTGAAAGTCATGTCCTTAAGAAGTAAGAAGGAATCCAGCAAACACCTGACACAGGACTCATTTGATCTCTCAGTTGATCCATGTGCTGTTTGTCGAAGCCTCATCAGAAATAGTCTCAGTGGAAGGATGGCGGTTAAGAAGCCATTTTTAAGCAAGGGGAACAGAGAGAAAATGCTCAGATTTCACACAAAAACTGGACTGAAAATTAGTGACAGCAAGTCTGATGGAGAGATGAATCCAAAGTTGGAACTTTTGGTTAAAATTTCCATCAGCATGTATGGAAGAGGTCAGGAGAGAAGCAACAGTGAGTGTCTACAGCCATCTATCATGGTTTGGAGCTACATTTCTGGTAGTCATGGATTGGCTTCCCCACAGCCCAGACCTCAACATGAATGAAGCAGTGTGGGATCATCTTGAGAGAACTGAAAAAAAAAAAGGCAGAAAGATCCAAAACATAAAGAAATGAGGGGTGATTTAAGACTTTGGCGCAGTACTGTAACTAAAATAAAAAGGTATGGCATAGATTAGAGCAGCTTTAAACAATTACTCTGTTTTTCCAGCAATATACCACAAAAGCTTTGTTTGCGTAAAGGCCCGAGCTTCTTTATGTTTAAAAATACACTAGTTCATAAACAGCAATTATCCAAAATGTAAATCAAGTAATAAATAGAAATAATGAATCTGTTTGATCTGCGCGGGATGTCATTATGCTGTTGCAGACTGGGACAGACAGACGGAGAGGCGACCACCCAGATGTTCAGACAGAGCAGATTGTCTCAGTGTGAATAACCTGGAGCACATGAATATAAATCACCTGCACAGCACGCTGCTCATTTGGACTTTCTATAAGAGAACGTTTGCACACAGGCAGACGTTACAGGACATCGTTTTATTGCTAAGTATGTCCCATTCAGGATCGGCCATCAGATTACGACATCCGATTTGTTTTGTCGATACGCTTGCGCTGATTACATGTGTCATAAATGAATCTGCATTTCACTTTACACTTTATAAAACTGATGAAAGCAAAGAATTCCTTCCAGGCATGGCAGGCAGAAAAAAGAACTGTTTGCAGCAACATACAATTTGCCCTCCTCATGGACTCCACATGGTGCCTATGTAAGTAATCACAGGGCTCTGCAAGGGGTTAGGTGGTTATGACAGCGATAAAACTATTGCAGAATACATATTGTTTTATTTATTAAAGTTGAAGTTTAGCATTCAGAGACTGGAAAATATTAAAAAGGACGAAAGAGTTGCATGTGACTCACTTCACAGAGAAACCCGTGAATGACCTTAGCTTATGCTGATCACATGCTATAACCCCTTTTAAAAACTTCCTTTATCCCCAACACTTTCAATCTTGGTTCTTGGTTATTGCTCCTCAAAGTTTATACGTCTTGTACTTTGTCAGAATTAGGTATTTCTTTTAGGAGATATTCTTTCAGAATCAATGGCTACATAAAAGCAGTGCACATACTGTGGTTGCTTTGACTAAGGCGTGCTTTTTTAGTCCAAGTCTAAATGTTTCTCGTTGTTGCTAGCACGGAGGCATCCAATATATCTTGCCTTCCTGACAGCAGCTGCTCAGCTCCCAGACAGCCCGCTGAGCCTCCTCTCTCCTCTGCATCTCCTCTTTATCAGGCCTGCTGTTGCCAGGCAGCTCCAGATTCTCATCTTTTTCTGGAATATCTAAGGGAATGTTGTGAGGGGGGGGCGGGGCCTCGTTTGCACAGGAAGTGGTTCTTATCATAGCTCAGTCTGGGCTTGCGTCCCCTAAAATGGGCATCATGACAAGTGGAAATGGCTATTTGAGGATTTCCCATGTGGTTTTGTATTTAGGGTAAAGTGACAGTAGTAGCCTTGTGGTTTGTTTTGGTTTTCCCTTGGCATGGGTCAGAGGTCCATGGGAGCCTGAAG